CCACTTGTAATCCATCCAGTTCCGCTACTTCTATCACCTTGGTCGTTTCTGGCACTGTCTTACTACCATCCGGCTGACCTCTGTCGATCGAACCGACCGGAGAGATATTGACAACTAGCGACGACCTGCTAGGTTGACCGGAGTCCGTGACTCGTCTCACTTGCGAGTTCTCGCTGCTCGATCCAGTACTCGAGGCACGGGATTGTGTAGGGTTATTTCCGGTGCGCTCTGCCTGACCTTCTGCAGACGGTGGTGTCATGCCTGGCATACGGATGAATCCACGCATATCTCGAGACTGTTCGACCTTGCGCCGTCCGGCTTCTACTCGATCCTTGACCACGGGGATACTCCGCACAGGAGCACTTCGCAAGGGCACGTGCGACGATACGTTTGATTTTTCCTGCGAGTTTTGCGCCACTCGTCTCAGTCCCAGGGGCGAAGGCTTTCCTTGCGGTCTTGCCCGAGCGTCGGCGATTATATCGCCTACGGTGCGCGACGTGGGTATTCCGACGGGAGATCCCTTCTGCGCCGCACCCTTGATATCGGACATGCTCACCATAGTGCGTATGATAGTGGGTGTGATAATGAACACATCGTCGTCCCTGGGAGCCGGTTTTCTGTCCTCGAGGCGCTTGCCCAAAGGTGGGGGGGACTTGCGGTCCTCTTTGGCCGAGCCCTGAGCTGTCTTTTCTAGTTGCTGGCAGCTGGTCTCGCGGCACACGCTCCTCGGTGGTGACTTCGAGCATTGGACAAGTTTCAAATTCAGAGTACCTGGTTTCCATTCTTCTCGAGGGACAGTCTTCTCTCCGAGGTCCGGATTTCTCTGGCGGACCACTTGGATCTTCCTTTCTTTGGGACTTCTGGACATAGGACTCGGCACATCGACTACCCGGGGACGATCTACGGGCGAAAACAGTAGGATCTCGTCGGGGTTCTTGTCGTTGGGCCCGTTGATCTCCTTGCACCCTAAAAAAGAGCCGTCCGGATTGACATTTGGTACATCCTTTCCGGATCTCGAAGCAGATTCTTCCCATATCGTACTGATGCGATTTTTGCCGATCTCATCTGGACAGTAGTACTTCGGATGTTTTGACTGCGATGGTGGGCTTTCCTCAACTCCCGTCGAAGGGGCAGGTGGGGGAGGAGGATCTTGACCGTCAAACGAGTTCGGCTTCGCAGGCTGGACAGCAGATAACTCCTTGTCTTCGGGCGTCCCGGTACGTGGACTAGGCAGAGAGTCTGGATCAAGCATGGCACCCCCGTCCTTGTGCACCTTTTCAATGCTTTGCTGGAATTCCGCAATCTGCTGTGCACTCATTGTTGGTGGGTTTGGCTCTTTGGCGGATGGCATGTTGACAACGAATTTGTCCTCCCATTCCGTCAACGAGCTGCTCGGGCCGGACACGGGTGACAGAGAAGAGTGAGAATTGATCGACGAGTCGGTAGCGTTGTCCGTCTTGTCCGTGGAAAAGTGCAGAATGCTCTCGTCCGTATCGGAATTCTTTCGTTGAACTCCACTGAGCTGTCGCTTCCCTTGACCGCTGAACTGGTTATCAAATCTGCTGGGAGAGCTGTAGCCTGGACGAAGCCGAGGATGGATGATAGGGCTCGCAATGCGCGACTTTGGGCTTCCTCGTAGATCGCCACCAGCCGATCTCAGTTTCTGTTTGACCAATTCGCTCTTTGGAGAGCTGGCCAGTGATATGATCTTTTTGTAGGCTCCGTAGTAAGTCTCTTTGTGCTTGTCCTTTTCCTTCTCTTTATCCTTCTCTTGGCCCTTCATCGATAGGGATTCCCTCTCAAACTTATCCCTGACCTTCCGCCAATATTGCTCTCGGTCTTTGTCCATCATCTCTTCCGGACTGCTGTATAGAGCTGTAGGCGATTTTTTTGGTCGGACGTTCCCAAGAGAACCATACTCCCGATGTGGAGGCGTAGCAGGTTTATCGTTTTGTTGTTCCTTGGTCTTGATTGCGAAATCCCTGGGCAGAGGAAGCTTCGTCGGTCTGCTCCTTCGCACGATGGTTGGAGTTCCAATTCCAGAATCACTGTTTCTCGAATTCATTGGGCTTCCACCGAGGTCTGATGTATTTCGCTCCTGCTGTGTATTTTCCACTGCTTCCACGTCCAGCTCCTCCCGCTTATCGTGGCGCCTTCGAGGCGCAAGGTTCAAGAAATGCCCCTGATGTAAGTGCAGAAGCTCATCCATATTGGTATCGACAGTGACGGCTGTTAACAGGCTGGTCTTCAAGGCCAGATTGACCTTCCACAGCTACCCATTCCTTGAGCAACAAACACTTGTCTTGTTCTTGCCTTTGGTCCTATGGGTTTCGGGACTCTTTGACGATGATTTCGTTGGATGCTGAGGCTGATGATGAAAGGATCGCCGTAGCATGGCGAAGTACTTGCCAGAAAAGACAGACAGGACGAGTGCACTAGCCCGTCGAGTGCAGTGGCAGGTTCCCAGCCTGGGCAAAGAATATGAAGAGATTTGTAATTATATGTGCGGAATGCTATGTGATCCGACTTGCCATGCCGAGGAATGTAGCAGCACGCACACACGCGGACCGAAGAAACCACTGCGGAATGCGCGCCTGCTGGTTTTGTCCGCCGTCTGGAATGGAAACTGCAGCCGCGTAGGAGAATGCCGGCCGTCTGTCTGATGAAGCGTGACAAGGTGATTGTAATGTAGACTAAGTGTTGGCAGATTGTGTAGATCGGAAATGTTGATCGTCAAAGGATCAAGGGTATCTCACAAAACGAAGTCACAGTATCCTATCGGCCATACAGCACCCAAAGGACTACCTCACCTCGAAATGGAGCAATTTCTGTGAAAATATAGTCCAGTCTTTACTCCATAGTACCGACAAGTCAACAATGGGCCAGACCGCGCCGTGCCAGGGACGGAATATAATATATTACAGTGGCTGGTCACCCCAGCCGGCCAACATTCCCAGTCAACAGAGAAACAGGACGACTTTGAATTGCACTCCGGAAAGGAAAGGGTCATGAAAAACACATTATGAGAATAAAAAATCATGTGAAAGCGAAGTGGACCTCCTAACGCCAAAGCCAAATGCTGGAAAAAGTCATGGTTACACGGTGTATACGCTTAATGAACAAATGACAAGAAGGTAGAATGACCCGTGCACCGTAACGATACGTCGGAAATTATTCGTTTTTCGTCAATTCACAAGGTGACTAATCCCATGACTGAATTCAGAACCAGCCCGTTTCACGACGAGGGTCATTCTGAGTCCGTCTCGGTGTTGAGGTCAACGGAGTTGCATTGCCGGGCACATTGCTCTTTTTCAAGGGACTTGATAGCCTCTTCATAGGAGTACCTCGGTCTTTGAATAAGAAATCTGGAGGATTCTGAACCCGGCGGTCGATATTGGCCGGGGTAGACCGCCTCAAGGGGGAATTTGCGTGCGAGAAGACCCCCAAACTGCCGCCGTCGCCTGTAGCACTCGGTGTGGGTCGGAAGTGCGGTTGGCGTATGGAAGCAACAGGACCCCGTACAACCGGGGAGGCATCTCGCAAATGACTGGGTGTTTGCAGCGATGTATAGTTGTGAGAAGTATTTGGCGTAGCGAATGTCCGTCGTCTGGTGGACGCCCCCTCGGGGTCGACAAAACTGACATAGTTCGGATTGGGGCTGGTTTTGAATCCTCGGTGGATCACGCGGGTAGGAGTAAACGTGTCCACCTTGTTGTACTTGGCATCGGAACCAGGTTGAGAGGTATTGGGGTCGGAGAACTGAGTGCCAACATCTCTCATGACTGGCTGGGTCCGCGGATGGACAAATTTGGTGTCATATTCATTTAGAACCTCCTTGTGAACCACCATGGAATCCTTGGCTTGCTGAGTGAACGAGGAAGAGAGGAATAACATCTGCACAGACAGCAGAGTTGTAATGAAGATAGTCGTGACGATAGTAACGCTTGGCTGGGGATCGGACAGTTGCGTAGGTAGGAATACCCAGTATACCAGGACGTGTCCGGGGCTGAAGAGGCAGAACAGTCGAAGGCAAATCGGCAGAGGATCCCAAACTGCAAGTTCCCAGACATCCCGTTGCGCGTCGGGATGCGCCCGGGACTCAGCAGACCCGGCAATCACGTTTGCAAAGTACCGCAATGGCGAAGCTGTCATAGGCGTTGAATCGACACGGACACGGCGAGCCGACGGTGTAGCTGGTGGTTGATCTATCGAAGCCTCAAACAGACGATAGAGTCGCTTCCGATAGAAGGTGTAGAAAGTGTTGAACGCACTGAAGCACGCGAGTAGGTGGACGATGAAGGAAGCCTGCCAGCAACAACCGATTAGCGTCTCATTCTCTGTGAACTCCCAGCTAGCTCCTTGAACTGTTGGCGACATACAAACCAGCTCGCCCAAGGCACTCCGCCATCATCTCCGAAGACATCGTCAATGGCCCTGCTGCCACTCGACCGGCTGTTCGCCCTCGCAGTGAGGAAGGCTAAATTGAGAACAGCACCCAAAGGCAGCGCCCAGTCCTTCTCAAACTGATCCCAAGCATTCGCATCAATCTCCTCTGACAGCCATAGCAGAAAGTCCAGTGGATTCAAGTACGATCTGATGCGCTCCGCAAGCGGTTGGCGGCGCACAAGCCGGGGCATGTTGATAATGAGGCACAGATATTGTAGAGCACTACCAGGGACGTTTCGATACCCTTCATATGTGCTCCAGCCAGGCAACTCGACTATCAAGACAACCCTTTTGAGGAGCGACAAAAGATAAACATACGCCAAGTGTTCCGTTCCGCTGCTAAACAACAAAAACACATCACGGCCCCGCTTAGATAAGCCGCAGCGGTCTGCGATGACGAACGTTGACTGAAAGAGGTTATCCACAATCGGGACACGACTCCTTCATCGCACAAGCTCATTGTCGGACTTGGTTGACTTGCCCACGGTAGCTGCTCCGCAGGGTAGATTCCACTTATTTCTTAAGGCTCAGCCCAGCCGATTCTTTGTCCGAAGATGGCAGCCTCGGCGGCGTCCTACAAGGTACGTTCACAGTCGCATATCCTCACGGTGGGATAGCCATAATCACTGACTCTCCTCTGAACCCTAGGAACGGCAATTCCTCGCTGTCATTGGCGACGAAGAGTAACTAGCACCTCCGGTAGCAAGACAAAAAGACAGAAACACCACCGCTAATCGCATCCAGCTCCGTTACCGGTCTCCTCCTCGCTGGTATCGGTGTACGTATACCACCACACCGAGAGGCTTTCCCCAAAAAGCACAACTAACAACCCCTTAGCATGTCACAGACGGCCCAGACGCTCAGCGAAACTTCCTCGTCGTCGATTCCAAGACCGAGACATCTACTATCGAGAAGGCCTTCCAGAACTTCACCCAGGAGAGGAAAGACATTGCCGTGCTGCTGATCAACCAACACGTACGTTCCATTCCATTCTGCCTCGTCAGTGATCAGTGCCTCATAGAATTAGATTGCCGAACGCATCAGACACAGCGTCGACTCCTTCGCAGACCCGTTCCCCGCCGTGCTCGAGATCCCCAGTAAAGACCATCCCTACGACCCCGAGAAGGACAGTGTGCTCAAGCGCGTGCGGCGGCTATTTGGGGAATAGACGGCAATCACTAGGTTTTTTTGGTTTTTTTGAGCACCTTCATTTGTTGGGATGTGTTGTAGGGTGGTCGCGTGCGCGGAGCGAGTCGTGGGAAGATACCCGATTATCTAGGATCTATGCACATAGAATTCGATATATTGTCAGCACCAAGAGGATGCTTGGTTGTCTACAGAGGCAGTAATGGCCCCTCTCTTCATAGCAGTGACGGTTGCTGTGTTCGCTCTCCACTTCTTTACTGTCTGAGAGTCGTGAGTAGCTCGAATGAAGGCTCTGTATTAGATGGTAGTTCACGCATATACATAGTTGTGCAGGCACGACGAGAAGCAAGTGATGATGATCTGCCCTGACGCCAGATGATATAGCACATTATCTAATCAAGCAAAGCGGTTATAACCAAGAGCATGTAACTTTGACTGCGAAGGACCATGGCAGTTTACAGCGAACATAAGAATGAAACCTCAAAATAAACACAGAACAGAGGCTCGTAAGAGTAAATTCATCAAGCGATCATAAGTACGTAGGAGCGGGTGCGAAAGACACATCAGTGATCAACCAGCGGAAGGGTAGCGATGGCAGCCAACGTGCCTTCTCATGGCCGAATCTTGAACTCGATATTGTGCGCATCCAGGCAGGTAATCTTCTTGCCATCCTTGGTATAAACGTCGGCATGGACGTTGTACTTCCCCTGTTCATCGTTGTTAGTAAGTAATTGGCCATTAAATGCCAGGAGAGCTCGAAAGGCCAACGTACAGGAGGAATATGCGAAGGCAGATCAACCTGCTTAGTCAACGACATATCGCCTTTCTCCAGGGGACACTCGAGATCGACATTCTTGATCTGTTCGCAGAGATCGGCGGTCTGCTTGATCAGGGTGATGAGACCGTATTTAACCTCCAGAGCGACATAAGCGCCTTCCTCCACCCGGTCCTTCAGGTTGCCCTTGGCATTGATAGTGAGAGTTTGGCCACTGTGGTGAAGAATCAGTCAGTTGCCCTTGACCCAACACTATATGTTATGGGGACTACCAGTACGTACGGGAGAGGAGGGTTAGGAGACAAGTCCACCGATTCGATCTCCAAGATATTGCCCGAAGGGTCGGAACAGTATTCTAACGGGTTATCTCCCTTGACAGGAAAGCTCTCGGCTTTGATTGGAGCCTGCGCGGAGTCAAAGAAGGAAATCGACCGTGCTGAGGCGGATAGAGGAGCAAGGCAGAGGAGCAGGGTAGCGGCGGTTGATAAGAGCTTCATGGTCGCAGGATACAGCCAACCAGCGGTCGTAGTAAACAGGGACCAGAGAATGACAGGACGAAGATTAGATACTGCTCGTGATAGTATAAGAGAGAGGAAAGAGGTGATATATGGAGGACAAAGTTGCAAGGAGCGTCTGATAGCAGACGCAGGAGAGTAATGGTAGATGAGGAGAAGCGGTGATCAGCCACAGCCACTGGTGCAAAGTACCTGATAGTTGTATGGGATGACGACGGCGGAGGTGCACGTGACTATGCAGGCACGGGGTGCGCTAGTTGTGTCACGAGCTCAAATGAAAGATAAGCCTACTTATAGTCGACATTGTCAGTGGCTATCCAGAATGCCCTCGATGCTGAAACTGCAGTTGGACCTGCAATCTATGCTACCCTGTTGGACTCGGAGTTCAATCGCTGAATGTCCGTAGGCGGAGTCAATCATGGGGATGTGTGGGATGACCCACTCGACGCTTCAATATTCCGCGGATACGGTGTGCCTACAATCTCTTACCATACTACTATGCGTTGATGGGCGAGAGTTCGACGTACAGAAGCGATAAACATGCTCGGATTTCCATGCAGGACTAGGTATATATATACAAAGTGGACATTCCCAAACTGACTGCTCTGCGTCATGTTTTAGGGTAAATCTTCAACTATCTATCTTAATGCTCCGAAACAAAGATTCCGGCCATGCCCATGCCCTAGCCAATATTAGTGGAAATTCAGAGATGAGACCTAACCAGCGGGAACTTACAGTTCCAACACACATCGAGGTGACGGCAATTCTCTTGTTCTGACGGCGCAGCTCGGACAGAGCAGTAACGACCTGGCGAGCGCCAGTGCAGCCCAACGGATGACCAAGTGCACTGCAATATGTTAGCAAGTGAAGACGAACGCGCAAGGATAACCAGATGACTCACATCGCTCCACCTCTGGGATTGACCTTGCTCTCATCAAGACCCAGCTTGCTAACACAGTAGACGCCCTAGACGGTCATTAGTTAATATAGCTCAGATATACACTACAGGACCAATCATACCATGGACGCAAATGCTTCGTTAATCTCGAAAATATCGATATCGTCCTTGCTCAGGTTGAACTTGGACAGAATCTTGGGGATAGCAATGGAAGGGCCGATACCCATGATTCTAGGCTCCAAACCCGCAACTGTAGCTCCGCAAAACTTGCCGATGATGGGTTGTCCGAGTTCCTGAGCACGGGACCGCTTCATAAGAATGACACCGGCGGCGCCATCAGTGATCTGACTGGCATTGCCACCGGTTGTGGCACTGGGCTTCCATTGAGGGAATGCAGAGCGAATCTTGCCCAGGGACTCGGCAGTGGTGCCATAGCGAATGCCGTCATCACGATCAACGACGACATCCTTTACCTCGCCGGTCTTGGGATCTTTGACTTGGGTCTTGACGGGCACAATCTCGTCGACGGTCCAACCGGCCTTTTGCGCGCGCTCGGCCTTCTGATAACTCTTGGCCGCAAACTGATCGTGTTGCTCTCGGGAAATGTTGAACTGGGCAGCGACGTTCTCTGAGGTCTGGCCCATAGGCTGGGTGTTCTGGGAGGCAATAGGATGCGACAAGATCTGAGCCGACATCTCTGGGGCGCCTCCATCGGCGTTGGTGCTCATGCTCTCGGCTCCGACAGCGATACCGATATCGATGGATCCAGCCATGATCTGGTTAGCGATATTCTGGATCGCCAGCAATCCAGAAGAACAGAATCGGTTGGCAATAGAGGCGGCGGCCGTCACGGGGAAGCCAGCTGCAAGCACCGCGGAGCGGGCGACGTATGCGGAACCAGGCGCAAGCACATTACCAACGCAGACATCTTCAACAAGGTTGGGGTCGAGGTTGGACTTTTCGCGGATAGACTGCAGACTGTTAGGATAGAGTATGGTTGGCGAGGACATTGATTTGGTAACATACTGTAAGCAATGAAATTAAGAGATTATCTATTGTGGTGTCTTTCAGGCCACCTTTTCTGGCCTTTGTGAGAGGAGTCCGAACAGCAAGCGTGATCACCTGAGCGAGGTCAGTCTTCGTCTTAGTTCTCGCCAGTACTATTCAGACGTACAATATCATCGGGATTCTTGGCCAACAGCTTGCTCTTCGCAGACACATTCGAACCAGCGACCTGGTTAGCGATTGAGGACAACCGTTGCTGTGGCGTAGACATGATTCTGGCTACACTGCTTCTGCGGGAAAGTTGCAAGAATTTTCTTGAGTCCTGAAGAAGTATATGGAATAGAAGAAAAGACCGAAAGATAAAAGGCCAACTGCCCTGGACCTGCGAGAATGACCGCGCTATGTTATAGTCCGGAGATGGCGAATGAACCGCGGTATCTAGGACAATATTGATCTGTGAAGGGCAAGAAGAACACTGCAGCCGAAGTGCCACGAGTGAAAGGCCGAGCCGAGATCCAGATTAATAATATTAGAGCCAATGGGATAATAAGACAGAAATACGGGGACGAAAAAGCATTGCAGTCAGTTGAAATAAATTGGGGCATCCTCAGTGCAAGGCAAACCCCATAGATCCACGTGGTAAGGTAGACAAGAATGAGAGCCGGCTGGTTCCCGACTGACACTGCCGCCAACGGGCTGTATTGCAGAGGTATTGTTACCGTGCGCCTCCTAAGGTTGCAGTGGCCTCGGCAGTCGGACTTGGTACCACATCGTGTTTGGGCGGTATGGTAGTTACCAGTGGATCTATCCGAGAGATAAGGTAATTCTTCACAGGAATCCGCGTACATACGGTAAGGAGCACGGGAGATATAGTATATAGATTTGAATCTCGTACCCCTAGTATCTTGTCACTCAAGAGTTGTTTGTGGAATTCAAGCTTCTGCCTCGGACCTGAGATGATACATATTGAGTATCCAAAATACTTCCAAGCGTCGGGGAGGAAACATGAAATGGGAAGTGGGGAAGAAGCAGTCGGCCCCCACCACCCACCGAATCTAAAGCTATAGGCTTTGCGGAGGATAAGGAGTACCACTTCTTCAACCGCTCCGTCCACACACTAATAAACTGGAGATAAAGCTATATTTCTCTTGTAGAAAAGTGAATGGAGAACTAAAAGGTACGGAGTACCTCATAGCTATACAATACTGCGGCAATCCCTGTGGGAAAACGCGTTGCGTGGGAACGGAAACTTGGTGGGCATGGAAACTTGTAGAACTGTAAATATCTCAGTATGTTATGACTTATGACAATTAGCGCCGCTGCATGGAAGCCTCCAGCAAAGCCTGGACAGATACCTTACTCAAGGTACCTAGGTATGAGGCAGATCCCCCAGTAATACGTATTAGAAATCCATTACAGTAACTATCGGATCACATCCGCTCCTCGATTGCCGTCTCACCATACAGCTTAGATAGTCTCCGGTGAGCGCCTCATAAGCCTCATGGCCGGCAGAGCTCTCATTATTCAGCTCCCGTCTCGATTCGCCGAGATGGAACTATTGCCTGGGGAGCTGGGTCTTGATAATTAAGGTCATATCGACGCATCCGTATATCTGTCGTTTTCTGTAAATCGGACGCGCCTAGGTACCTCCGCAAATCATATATATCCGGGGAGAGTACCTACCATAGCAAGGAGATCAATTGCGCCTAACTGTGGACTAACTACATCTTCTACTACTATCCCTTTCCTCGACTCGCTGGAACCTTTTATGGATTTAATTTCGGAGATATCAGCCCCTTCGCTGGCGGTCGCCTCGGCCCTGACCGTTGCAGCAGGGGCGTATCTGAATGCAAAGCTCGCCATTTCCACGGATTTGACCACTATTTGCAATGATCGAGACTGGACGAAACGCCTTGGCCAGCGGATTGCTGAGCTTGGCGATACAGCGACCCTGTACAAGATGCTGGAGCGAGTCGTCGAGGTTCAAGGATGCGGCGCCAGTGAGGCGCTCTGGTTTGAGAACAAGACATGGACATATAGCAAATTGAAGGACCGTGAGTCTGCTCTTACAACTGCAAATATCTCCTTTCTCCTATTCAGCAATTGAGTTGACTGTCTTTGCCAGTTGTCGATCGCTTCGCCTCTTTGTTGCACTCTAGAGACATCAAGGCAGGCGACTTCGTCGCCGTATTCAACACAAATTCGCCTGAGATGGTGGTAACCATCTACGCTCTGGCAAAACTGGGTGCCGTGGCTGCTTTGATCAATAACAACCTGCGTGGTATGACCTTCGTGAGCTTCCTCTGTCACAACCGATTGAATTGACCCTGTTGAGTTAGATGACACATTCACTCACTGTCTCAATGTCTCCGGCTCAAAATTCATCATTTCCACACCAGACCTGTCGCAATTTGTATGCTTAGACATGCCTCATGTTGCGCTGAACATTGGATCATTCGATGGCATCTCCGTCGGCGCGACTGAGCTGGTTACCGCAGCTGACCTGCAACAATACTCTCCCACCGGCTTGATCCCGGCCAAGCGATCTGTCCGTGATCTGTGTGTACTCATCTATACATCCGGCACAACAGGAAACCCCAAAGCATGTGCCATTCGCAACATGATGAACATGACGACGTCGAATCCTCTGACTACGGATGTCAAAAACCCTTCCAGATACTACCCACTGCGCACCTATTCCTCTCTTCCTCTCTTCCATGGCACCGCCTACTTTACGGGTATATGCTACTCGGTCGGCAATGCAGGCACCCTGTGTTTGCGACGCAAGTTCTCCGCCTCCCAATTCTGGAAAGATGTTCATGACTCTAGAGCCACCCGTATTCTGTATATCGGTGAACTCTGTCGATACCTGCTGGCCACACCTCCATCTCCATACGACACGGACCACGTCTGCATTGTCGCATCGGGCAACGGGTTGCGGGGTGAGATCTGGGAGCGGTTCCGGCAAAGATTCAACGTCCCCGAGATCCGCGAATTCTATCGATCCACTGAAGGCGTGGCCAAGTTCGACAATCACGGCGTGGGCGCATGGGCTGCAGGCAAAGTAGGGTTCTCGGGACCCATCCGACGATTCTTGGAAGAGGATGTCTTCATCGTCAAGTACGACCCGAATACCGAGATGCCATACCGGGACCCGAAGACCGGGTTCTGTGTCAAGGCCAAGCTGGGCGAGGAGGGAGAGGCCATTGGTCGGGTCAGGGACCGGGGCTTGCTGACCGAATACCTGCGCAACGAGGAAGCCACCGAGAAGAAGCTCCTGCGGGACGTCTTCGTCAAGGGCGATCTGTATCAACGCACCGGCGACCTTCTCATCCAGGACCACTCGGGATGGGTCAAATTTCAGGACCGCGTGGGAGACACGTTTCGCTGGAAGGGCGAGAATGTGAGCGCTGGGGAAATCAGGGACCACATCTGTCGTATACCAGGTGTCCATGACGCCGTCGTCTACGGCGTGAAACTGAGCGGGTATGTTCTCACATTCAGCCTGAGGGGTCTGTCATGCTAACTCTAGCTTCAGATACGACGGCCAAGCCGGCGCTGCTGGTATTACGCTTGAAGATCCCGCAACAGAGGCCGAGTTCATGGCGAACCTGCACCGAGAGCTGAAAAAGAAGGGCGTACCGTCGTATGCCATCCCGAGGCTTGTTCGGCTGATCGAGAAGTGAGTTTACCTAAATACACACCGACTTCTACTTCGACTAACGTTCTCTTCTTTTTGATGATAGGGTAGCAACTGGCGTGACATTCAAGCAGGCAAAGGGCGAACTGGCCAAATTGGGCTGGGACCCCCGTGCCCAGACCAAGGGCGACAAGCTATACTGGCTGAACGGCCCCACATACCAGAAGCTAGACGAGCAGAGTTGGGCTTCAATAGAGAGCGGACGGGCCAAATTGTGATTGTTTGACCTATTGTACATATATACTAGACGAATTGCTAGATAGTAGATAGTCATATTCTTGGACACAAATACCTGGAAGTCGCTGTAGATGGCCAATGTGACGGGTGTCAACGTCGAACAAGAGCGTCCGAGAAAGCTTCAAGTGATTTGGCAATATCTTGCCCCACTGCAGGGTGTTTCGACTTCGAGTGGCTATGTATTAATTCGAGAAGATCCAGCCAATACAATGCATAGTAAACTGCGTGTGTGCGATCGACGGACTGCTAGCTGGATTCTCCCCACCAATACAGGGAAAGAATCATTTTAGATCTCGTTAGTGTTAGCCACTACGCGAGTCATAATCTCGATAAGGGCTTTTCGCTTTCCCTGTCTACGGGATTCTGCAGAATGCGCGGGGTTACATATTTCGACATTCTGCAGCCTGCAGCCTGCAGCCTATTCCCTGGATACCCCTGTTTTGAGAGCGTACAGACACGAGCATGTCTTCTTTAGCGTTGGGCGATGTGGAAGCATCTGCAACTTGCGATGCAAGACTCAAGCAGCAAGTGACATCTCACGCGGTTGATGATAAGGGGTCCGAAGAGCTTGTAGCGCCTGATGTATTTGACGAGAGATATCGCACGACGAAATGGGAGATCTGGGCCTATTATGCGTGCGTGCGAATCAACATACTAATTAACCGCTAACGTTGCATAGCTACTACATTGGAAATAACGGGCTCTCGCTATTCAGTACGTTGCTATCGTCTTGGATATCAATCAAAAAAGCGACTAATGAAGGTGTAGATTTCGCTCCCACTGCCTTCCAGAACCTCCTCTACCAAGCCGCAGGCGACCAGGGAACCCTCTTCTTTGCAGGCCGCCAACGCTCGATCAACAGTATCGTCCTCCTGAGCAATGGCATCTCCTTCGCTATCCAGATCGTCGTCTTTCTGGTGATAGGCAGCTTCGCCGACTTCGGCACCTGGCGGCCAAACATCCTGATCGTCTTGTCGGTTATCGCCTACGCCATCGGCTTCGGCTGGTTGGGCGTCCACACGCAGGAGAAATGGCACGTCGGGGTGGGATTGTATATTGTAGGATTAATCGCGTATCAGACGACTCTGACGTTCTGGACGGCTGCGTTTCCGGGTCTGGCGCGGAATACGGCCGAGATGAAGGATCGCGCAGATGCGTATGTAGCAGGTAGGATCTCGCGGGAGGAGTACGACGATGCGGACACGATGGCGCGGAGCCGGCTGGCCAACGTAGCATTCTATGTGCAGTCTGTGGCGGAGATCGTGATCCTCGCTGTCATCGTGGGGATCATGTTTGGGCTGAGGGTTGATGAGAGCGAGGCGAATAATAACTGGGGGTTGAGTGTGCTGATTGCGTTCGCCTCGGGGGTGTGGCTGCTCGTCTCGCTGCCGTGGTTTGTTCTCGAGAAACGACGGCCGGGGCAAGACCCCGGACGGAACATTATCGTTGCGGGATTGACGCAGCTATACCATGCTGGAAGGCAGGTGTGGAAACTCAAGCAGAGTCTGCTGTATCTGATAGGTAAGGTCGTGTACTGCCGTGGAGATCTCCCTCATGGTACGCTGACCATCACTCGCCTGAAGGATATTTCCTCCTCGGCGACTCCCTCAATACAACAGTCACGGTGATCGGGACATTGCAGAATAGCATCGTCGCATACAACACACTGCAACTGACCTATCTCCTGATCGTAGGCATAGCAGCACAGGTAGGTCTTCTGTCCCCATGACCCGTCTTCGCTAACACCTTCATCTCTCCAGGCACTTGGCATTTACGCTTTTTGGTTCATTCAGCAGCGCTACAAGCTTGGCACGAAGACCATGTTCAATGCTATCGCAGTGGGAATCATCTTGCTTGATGGATGGGGGATGATCGGCATTTGGACGCAGCGGTTCGGTTTCCACCATGCTTGGGAGATTTGGGTAAGCCTTCAGCCCAACGCAGCCTCCTAGATAAAAGAGTTCCCGTCCCGTCTCCTAACAAGCACACAACAGCTCTACCAAGCCTTCTACGGCCTTTTCGTCTGCCCCTGGTACAGCTACTCCCAGATCATGATTTCGGAGGTCACGCCGCGCGGCCACGAGTTTCTGTTCTTCAGTTTGTTCAGCATCATCGGCAAGACGTCCTCGTTCATTGGACCGCTGGTCTCCAGTGCGATCATCGATGCCTCGCCTTCGGGGAATGTGTCGACACCATTTTATTTCCTGTTTGCTTTGAGCGTGGTGAGTTTTGTCATTTTGGTGCTAGGGGTGGATCTGGAGAAGAGTCGGAGGGAGCAGGAGGTTTTCCTGAGGGAGAACAAGGGCAGGATGCTTGGCTCAGAGAGTTCAGTCAACATGTGATGTAGATTATGGCGCCAGTAACTTCAACGACGACGAACTAGATATAGCGACTCTCTCACTGGAATTTCCATGTCAGTTGGTATACATACATAAATTGAACTTTGACGTGACTTTTCCCTCCTTCGTAAGTGTAAACGCAGTATAGAAACAAATTGAGAATAACTCCAACCCATGCTATGCCTAAGCGCCTTGTATTCGAAGAGCAAACAGACGAAAAAGACAGCGGAAGCTGAATGTGAACGTTGCAGAAGCAAAACCCCTACCCACAAAGGCAGATGTGATACGATTGCCTCTATGCTTCGCCGTCCGAAGAAGCGTCCTTGGACTTGCTCTTCTTTTTCTTCTTCTTTTCTTTCTTCTCGGAGCCGTCGTCGACCTCCGCCTCGGCGTCGCGCTTCCGCTTCTTCTTCTCTTTCTTCTCCTTCTTCTTCTTCTCCTCGCCATCCAGCTCCTCGGGCGGAACAAACGACTTGGCCCGTTCCTGCATCTTCTCCTCGCGCTTCTGGCGCTGCCGCTCCATAACCTCCTCCTTCTGGGCGCGCTCCTTGGCCTCCTTGGACAGGAAGTACTCGCCGGACTCGATCTGCAGATCCACCTTGCTCTTTTCCGGCGCCGGCGGGAACGGTGTGTACACCTTCTTCGATTTGTCGGTGACCTTGTAGGGAACGCGGCGCTTCGACAGCGTACGCTTCTTGAAGTTGGGCAGGAACCGGTCCCAGGATTCGTTGGCGAGCGTGGGGTCCTTGGCCAGTTCGCGCTTGATCATGAGCTCCTTGATGTAGTAGATCGGGTGGATGTTGGCCATGCAGTCGTTGACCACCCGGCGGACCTCCTTCAGCCCCTTGTACGGACCCATCGCCGCGACCGTATTACCCTGGACCAGGATGTAGGTGCTGGTGAGCAGCTCCAGCGCTTTCAGGGTGGAGCCGGAGGGACCGAGGAGCCGCTGTCGGCGCTTCACGAAGCGCTCCTTGTTGCGGACTTGGTTGCGGATCTTGATGATGTCGCATGCGACGCCGTCTTCGAGGATTTTCAGGGCCTGGACCATGGTCGTCAGTTACGAGGCGAGGGGTGGGGCCCATGTCACTTTGAAAACTCACCTGTTGAACGGGTACGCTTCTCGACAACAGCTTGATCAGATCACGAGCCTTCAGAATGGCTGCAGGGTCGAAGGTTTTACGAGTAGTCTTCACAGTCATGCTACCCTCCACCAAGTCCAGCGTACAGGCGATTCCATGCTTCTCCAACGCTCTCGTCACCACTGGCCAAGCTTCCTTCAGATATTGTTCGCGATACTTGGGGAACAGGGTTGCAAAGGACGATTCTTCCGCAAAACTACCGGCGACGTTGTCATCGGGCTTGAATTCTTCGATCTAGTTAAGTGATCGCACGTTAGAATCGAATAGAATGTCGCAAGATGAATCCTGAGAATACGCACCTTCCACTTATCGATATCGTCCGTATCCCACGGCTTATCCCTTTTGTATGTGGAAGGCATCTTGAGTCCGAGTTGTGTTGATCAACAGCAGATGCGTGCTGTCAAACGATAATGATCGGTATTCAAGCTGGATCCAACTTTTTTTCTCCCGCCCAGGAGCGCGGACACTTACCCCATTGGGACATTGTTGCAGCCTTGTAATTCAGGCATCAAAAGGCACCAACATAGATGATTTGCGCCGTAAGCGCCCAAACGCGCGATCACCAACGTGTGTTCTCTCGACAGGGTCAGAGTTGAGTCAACTCGAGTGTGCGGTTCTTTTACTTGTCATAATTGCTACTATTATTATCCCCTTATTGGGCCCGAACCGAGGATCTTGGAATGCACGAATAAATATTGAGCATGGCTATATGGAGTGTTGCGAAGATGTGTACAATTTGCCTCAATATACTCGTCACATTGTCATAACATTGTCATTAAACTAGCAGATTGATCCATCAAGCCTCTCCAATACTGTGGCCTTGATTCTCCTTCCTCTGTAGATCTCGTCGTCATGTTGTCCTGATAAAATTGGACACTTGCCATTTCGGGAATAATTCATTTCGCCCTTCCCAGGACCATGCGGTATCCATGACTTAGGGTCGTTGACTAGGCCATCCTGATTTATTCCGACTACATCCAGTGACAGCCAGGACATTCCGCTTCGTTATTGACGGTCAACGAGGTTACTTGTTGGTGAAAAGGGCAGGGAGACTCGGAGCCGAAAGAACAATGTGTCAGAACAGCCGCGGAGCGTTGAGTACCTGGACAGTGCACATTCAGTCTGTCATGTTTCCGAGCTTGAAGGGTTCTCGGGCCTCAGTGGGCATTAAAATTCTGAGCCGCCAAACTGCCAATGCGGATACCACTGATGAGGGTCTCCTCGGAGGGTAGGTAGCAGACGTGGGGTTGGCATGACGCTATCCCGAACTTGATAGTTAGACAGATTCTAAAGACGCATTCAGCTATTCAATCGCATGTTATAGAGCGAGGATAGAGAGAGAGGTTAGGTTATTATATGGTCGTCTGGAATCAGATCTCCATTCTCGCTCGCGGTTCTGGTCCTGGGCAAGGTTAAATAGTCAGCGTCCCGTCAGTTTGGTTCTGGTTCCGGACCCGCGACGGTCCATCTCTCGAGCCCCTTCATTCAGTCTTCTTCCTCTTTTCTTCCTTACTCACTTTTTCCTTTGAGTATCCATCATTGCTCTGCCATGGGTTGTTTATCCATTTTCATTGCTTGGTGAGGTTGCTCAATCTTCAATATCTCATATGTCTTTCCAATAATAGACCAAGCTCGCCATGGTAGATGCTTGGTTTTGAGAACTGTACCCTAGCGCCCAATCAGCGGCATGTCGTACTCATGAAGGTCGTTCAGGCTGCTTTTCTGAAGACTTACAGAAAGTCCTCTCGAATCATAGTTTCACTGACGTATTGGTCAAAATGAACATTGATGACGAGCTATCGGAGCATGTCATCACAGGTCTCCGTATCTCCAAGCTGATCATGCTACAGAACAGGAGAGTTAGAGCCACTGCTTGATTCTCGGTGTTAATCCCCAGCTCATAATGCTGCGAACTCAATGTTGTCGAACAAAACCGGATGCTAACCAGTGAGGTTGATATTCTGTCTCGCAGTCATAGAGTTCAGAAACAAGTCGGGAGAAAGACACTTGACTAACCGCCCTCTATCTCATTCAGTTTTCAGAGCTAGTATAAACCAAGATCTCTAATCGGACCACGGGCAAACATGATTCACTTTACGCATTCCAAGAATGAGTGAGCCTCGAAGTGAACCGAAGCGTGAGCGCCCCGTCAGCTCTTGAAACACAAAAACAGAACGATCCGTCGACCTTCTTTCCTCCTCAATTTCAGAGCAGCTATCCTGGCTTTCTTCCAATGCAAACGTACCTAAACCATCAGAAGGGAGACATAACTGGCCGATCCGTGGTCACTTACAAGGGAAAGTACGCCTTCAGGCTCGCTGTTTCCGCTTCTTCCCGCGCTTGAGTAATGAGTTCCTGGAAATCTTGCTGAGGCATGCCGGAAATCTGAGTCAATGGGTACAGTGCCAATGATGGAAGGAGGTTATTAATGTTCTCTCGGTTAAGCATGCCAATTGCTTGCATTCTAGGGTCTAGCACACTGGTTGAGCAGCCCGCAAACGAAACGGGCAATGAGGACTCACCATTGGACCACGCCGAAAGAGGAAGAGGAATCATTCTCGCGTCAATATCTTCGAAACCTCTGTCCCGAAGAAGATTGTTCAACCGTGTTCCTATACGCACATCCTTTGTTCCTTCGTATGATCTCAGGAACTGTGTGCTCCATCGTCTCAGAGCATGTTCCTCGGTGATCGAGCCGTTGTCCGATTGAACGTTGAAGTATATTTCGACCAATTGTACCCATCCGCCTGGCTTTAAGACCCTAAGGAATTCGACCAAGTCAGCCTTCTGCCATTTCTCTTGTAGTTTTGCCAGATGGCCAACGACCCTGGCTTAGCAGAGAGCGCACCTTTTGATGTCTGCGAGGTACGACGGCCACCTGGCCCTGTTGATGCCGGTTGCAAGAAGCCTTGAATGAACAAGGTCGAAATGATTGGAGGGAAAGGTGAATCGGCGATTGAGGTCATCGACCTGGTGATGAGATGTCAGCCTGACGCTTCCAGGAGCCCTGTCCAGCCTAGGTCCTGCAGCTATGCGCCCATCTCTGGATTGTTGGAAGTCTCCGCCCACCTGTAACCATAGATTCTCGGGCATGTCGTCCGGATTCTTGTGCGGAGATATGTCAAGACCGATTACCTTGCTCACGCCAAATCAATCAGCCTCTGTGTGTGGAACGCTCTAGTACGACGATATTCACCCTGCAATCTGGATATTGGGTAGCCACATCGACTGCCCAAGATCCTGTGCCGTAACCGCAGTCGAGTACTCTCCGAAGTCGAGGGATCGGTGGAAAAATCAATCGGCCGTCGAAGATCCTAGAGAACACTCGATGCTGGAGGTCGAGACGTTCTGCTTCTTCCTGATAATGAACAACGGTCAACGCTTGCCAAAATTTGAAGACCGCGGCCATACATCGTCAACAGGCTCAAACGCTATCTGGTTGTCGATGGAGAACTTGTGGAATTCTCGTCCATGGATCGATACGGTGTGAAGGTATACTTCATCCAATTCCTCCGTCTCTGAATCAGGGCTCCTTGTTATGGAAGTGTCAGCACGTCCTCGCATTCATGTGGTCAAGGTGATCTTTCGGAGGGAGTACGTCATGCCGTCTTTGCTTCTTCGATGTCGTTGAACAGCCTGCTGTCTCCGTATGTCTCGTTCAAATCGTCGGATGAGGGGTGGCGAGAAGCCTCCGATGTCGAGCGGGTATGTAGGAGGAAAGCGAACACCAAACGATATCTGGGAAGGGACCTATAGCTGGAAGCGATTGACGTGGTACAAGATACTATCGCAGAGCTCTTTCTGCTCTGTTCAGACGACAAAAAGAGCTTATGTTCTCCCCATGGGACGTCTTAGGAGCGTACTTTGCGGGACTCGAGGCTCTTACTAAATGTGCGGATGGTGGGAAAACCCGCTCTGCCCAAATCCTGGCTCTTCTGTTGCGCGGAGGGAACAAACAGTGCTGTTGGCAAAAATCCCGTTAACCAAAACTCTACAAAAGGACAAGCATCATTGCTGTATTGCTCTCTAAGCCACACTACTACACTGTGACCGCAAGGGACGATAGTAAACCTTGTCGACAAGAGCGAGCCTGATTACTGTACACGGACTAAGTCTGAGTTCCAAGCAAATTTACAGGGAAAGGAGGGGTCGGCGGTGTCTCCTAGAGGGGCCGCTGATGCCGACGTGATCAAACAGAGGAAGATCTCTAGGGTCCTCTCTGTGTCTTGGGCTGCTGGGTATTGAACTAAATCGATCATCGAGCTTCAATATGAGCAGTTGGGTCTCTGTTACGGACATTCTAAGCCCCCTGTTCCCAGAGCTTGAGGAAGAACGCCAGACTGCTTCGTTCCGCATGGGCGAGACATTGGTGCTCCTGTCGCTTAGTTTCGTCTATCCCAAAGCTGTTTTCGCTCGAGAATTCAAGGCAAAGCGATGGACCAGCTAACTGATGCACCTTCATGCATTGTATACGGTTACGCAATGGACCCCGATACCCACCAAAATGGCGACCATGCGACAGCCTGCATGCACTTGAATAGCGTAGAGGCTACAGCCACGGATATGAAACGACCAAGAAATTGATTCCATCACTACAGAAGCACAACGAGCTACGGTACTGAGTTGACTCCCAAAGAAATCAGCCACAGACAATACAGGGACGCGACGCGTCTTCTTGACTAACGGGTTGTTGCATGAAAAGTCAACGCACATGCAAGGCAATCCTCCGTCATTAAGGGACCTTGTCTAATTTCAGCAGTCAGTGTCGCGGCGATCTCCTGATAAATTTTCTCACCCATCGCCTGCATCTCAGTCTTGGTTGTGGATCGAAAGATTTGCCCGTTTGACTTCAAGAATGCGAAGAACCTCAACAGAGGTAAATTAATGACGGCGTCGACGAACGAGCTGGGTGGGGACACACTCTGAGTGGCTTAGGGCTCCTCATGCACGAAAATAGGAGGAAAAGAGATTCAGCAATAATGCGCAGATGGTGCAAAAGAAAATAACTACACAGTACACATTGCTTATGAGGCTTATTCCCATGAATGCTCATCCTGAGAATGTGAGCCACAAAGCATGAAGTGCATGAACTATTCTTCTTACGACTCACTGTTTCTCAATCCATTCGTTTTTCCTGGCCTTCCCTGCCGCTATCACCTCGCTCCTTCACCGCTTCTTGTGGGTGTGTTAACAATCCTGACGACTTCAGCCAATTGTGATTGGATGACGAACAAAATCGCGGATCACGGACATACTCGGTCTGCAGCTGTTCTAAGAGCGGGGCAATGACGTCCACCGGTCGTCGGGGAGGTCAGAAGCATAAGACGAGCAAATGGGCTTGCCAAGTGAGAAGACGGTGCCTCAAAATGGCTTCTGAAACTGAATATGGGGTTGGACATCTCAGACTCTTCCCGGATCGAGTCCATCCTACCGCGGAGGGGTGGTATCAATTCAACGTAAAACAGTTGCCGTGGGTTTGGGTTACCGGCGATCGACGGGCTCTATGCTCCCAGATTGAAAGAATCCAGACTCTCGGGTCTCGCTCTCATTTCGAGACATCAAATGAGAGACGCGTAGCCTGTCAGATTAATGATAGCAATTCCAGAACCATGGTTCACTGCTTGAGCAAAAACGCTTGCTGGGGCTGTAACCCGCTGGTGTGTTTAGTGCAGCCGATGGGTCTGACGTTACATAGCTGCACTGGCCGGGAGTATGGAGAACTGACTGGACTAAGCCACCCGCCTCATGTCCTGAAAGCTATAAAGTCCCGACCACTGGCAGAAATCCCGGTGGGCCTCCCAACTAGTTGACGAGTGATCTCCATCACAAAGGCAATTTCCTCTGTTCCTGGGGCATAGATGAGTAGATGCTCTGCCGGTCAAGCGAGCTTCCTTCCTAATGTCAGAGCCTGGAGAACCTGGACACCAGACAGCGTGGCGCTGCTCTCAGCCTGGCCCAATGATTTCCTTACCTACAACGCAAAGAACAATGAAAGATTAGCGTCTGATTTTCACTGATTTATCTACATAATTGACTTGCAAAGGGCTTGTGCGAACGTGCCATGGACTGAATAATCCTGTATCCAGCCAGTGGATATGCGCAATTCCCTATCTGTTCTTCAGTCCTTGGAGCGGTTGGTAGAGTATCAGCTACCAAAAGACCATCTGCGTGCAACTCCAACCCCGTGCCGGCCAGTTTGAGCAGTTGGTAGTGCACTGCCAGATAAATTCCGTACTAAGCGGTTGTGAAACATCATTAATTCGTGGTCGGGCCCCTGCCTCCTTCGTTTTCTTATTTGGAGTCCTTGAGGCATTGCCTGCGGGCCTACCACTGGCTGCTTCCTGAGTCGCTCAGCTGCTCCTGTATGTGGTGCTCTGTGGAAGGCAGACACGATGGTAACAATTTTGTTTCCTAATCTACGGATGATTCGATATTCTGAGGGAACGTTCAACTGACATTGATGCGGATGGAGAGTATCGTCTTTACTATTCTGAGATGGCCTGACTCAAAAATTACGTTTGTTTCTGGCTGTTTTAGTGCTGACTGATTGCTGCGTTTGCATAGGCAACAGTCAGGGCCAGTAGTGCTCCAGGAAGCCTCTTCCCTTTGTCACCCACTCCTCCTCCATGGTGATATCGACATCGAACAAATGCTCTCCTGGCAGCACGTCCAACTTTACGGGAACGCTCGGTAACATCTCCCGCAACCGCTTTACAAATCCCGTCGAACACACTGGGGGAATCTGTGCCAGATCAGATGATGGATACGGACTGCTCCACGACGGCAGGGTTAACGTTAAACTTACCATCGTATCCCCACTGCCATGAACAATCCACAGAGCCGGCAAACCCTCGCTTCGCTCCTCCTTCCACTTCTCCAGACTCTCCATAATCCCACTCAATGCAGCCTTCTGTCCATTTCCTTTAACACCGAACAGGCGCGGCAGATACGACTGCTGCGACACACAGAGTACCAGCTCCCACATCTCCACCGTGGGCTTCGATCCCGTCCGAATCGCACCGGGTGGGATGTTCTTGATATACGTCCTGATCCGCGCCTCTGCCTCTCGTGGCGGCGGCGGCCGAGTGCCGATAAACGTGCGCGGACGTGGGACCCTCAGCTCAGGGGCATTGGTGTCCAGCGGTGCGGAGATGGATATCACCGCTCGAATATCAACGATCGGCTTCACGTTCTCCTGTTTCTCCTCGGAGAGGGAAGTGTTTGTCATGACAGAAATCATCGATCGGAGGTGCAATGCCGAGTAAACAGCCAGATAGCCTCCGGCGCTCTCCCCGCAACAGAGTGTGCGTGTCAGATCCAAAGAAAAAGGCCAGCCACTCTTCGAAGCGAGCTCCACCACGCTAGTCTGCATCCATTGCCAGAAATGCGCGATGTCGCTCAGGATATCGGCGCCGTTGGACTCAGGAAGGAGTCGGTAGTCTGGCGTGATAATGATGGCCTCGTGGGCCTGTGCAAGGTCGAGGAGCCATTGTGCGAACCAGGGTTCATAAGTACGGTGGCCGACGATGAAGCCGCCGTCGTGAAAGCGGACTATCACGGGACGGTTTCTGGGTTCTTCGGGAGCCAGGGGTAAAAAGAGGGTATTGGGGATAAGGAACGTGGTCTGGAGGGGGTGTTTATTGATGAACCGGTAGGGGACGTCGATGAGGGTGAAGGGGCCGAATCGAGACATCTTGACCTTCTTCGTGGTTGGTGCGTTTCTGATGATGATTCTGACCAAGAGCACAGGCTGTGGTGAGTGCGACAATTAGTGAAGAAAGATGAGGAAGAGTTGGGAACAAGCTGCTTTATATAAACTAGCAGAATCACTAACTGCCGGCACACTGCATGTCAATATTGACTACCTCAAGCCTAACTACCTTGGATCAACTATTGCCCAATTTCTCCCGCAGCCTCTTGGCCGCTAATTCTCCTAGTCGAAGCATACTACCCCCGTTCATTAATTCCAGCACGGACACCTCCACTCCTAAATTGTTTCCACCAGTTCCGCACCTCGATGGCCACCAGGGAATCTACGCCGGCCGCGGACAGAGTTAGCCCTAGGTCTAGGGGCTCCTCGTCCTCCCTGCGCATCAGGAAAGTCGCCACACGGTCCCGGATTTTACCTGCTAGGAACTCCGCCGCGGCAGGCTGATCCAACTGACTTGGGTCGGCATTCACAGACGATAAAAACGGCTTGATGCCGCTGGTCGTCGCTTCATTATCACCCGCAAAGGTCTCGATGTTGCGGTAGATGGCCATGCGCGGGTCGCGTTTCCAAATGATGTTGTTCTGCGGGTGCATGATGGGCAGTCGGCATTCGAGGGCTTGAGTCACTTGGCATGGGTTTTGGAACTGCAGGCCTGTGGTCCCTAACTCTGGGGAAGCTGCTGGGAATGAGACCGGGGCTTGCGAGGACCGCGCGATGGTTAGCTGGAGCGTGTCGAGGAAGTCTTGTTCTGTAATGAGACGGCCGGCGCTGGCTAGCATAGCGTCCTTGGCTGCCGGTGTGCGGCTGATGTAGCCCACGTCGTTGACGGCGCCGATGTCCATGACCGATGCCCGGAGACCACGCTCGTGACGGTACTGGACGAAGGCGTCCAGAAAGGTGTTTGCAGCAGCGTAGTTTGCTTGCCCGTAATAGCCGACCATGCCGCAGACGGAGGAGAAGAGGACGAAGAAGTCTAGTTCGTCATTGGGAACTGCGTTGTGCAGATTCCAGGTTCCGTCGACCTTGGGCCGGATCGCGGCCTGGTAGGTCTCGAGGTCCATATCCATGACCCCGATGTCGCGGAGGACCATGGCCATCTGCATCACGCCTGCAATAGGCATGGGCGCTTGCTCGATGGCGTTATGCACCATGAGAGGATCGGCGACATCGCCTGCCCACGCCTGCACGGCGCAACCCATGAGATTGAGCTCGTGAATGAAGGCCTGGTCGTCGTCCGTCTTTCCGGCTGATCGTGAAAGGAAGATCAGGTGCTTGGCGCCGTGCGTTGCCATCCATGTAGCAATAGCCCGCCCAAGACCACCCATACCACCGACCAGGAGGTAGCTTCGGTCGCCGCGGAACGAGGGTTTGGGGATTGTACGATCCCACGGAAGTGAACTTTCGGCGTCGGGGGACTTGATAACGACCTTTCCAATGTGAATACCTTGCTGCATGTAGCGAAAGGCTCTTTCGACGCTCTCGGCGTCAAACAGCGTGACTGGGTGGACAGGCGTGATGTGACCATCGATATATAGATCCAGCATCATCCTCATCAATCGAACGACGGCGGGCTTGTTGAAAACTGTGTACCGCGACAAATCGGCGCCTATGAACGTCCGATTGTCTTCGAACTTGTCTAGAGCCAATTGACCTCGTCCGATCATGTCGCGCCTGCCAATCTCCACCATGCATCCGGAGGAGGCTACACACTCCCACGAGGTGTGAAGCAGCTCACCGGATACAGAGTTCAGCACACAGTCAACCCCAACACCATCAGTAGCTGCCATCAAATCATCACGGAAACTGGTGTCGCGGGAATGGCAGATTCGGTTACGCGGGATTCCGAACTCTTTGACCAGGAAGTCGGCTTTTTCTTCTGAGCCCACGGTGCAGTAGATATCCGCCCCAATCCACCGAGCAATGTTGATGGCGGCTATACCGATGCCCCCTGCAGCAGCGTGAATCAGAATAGACTGACCTTTGGCGAGATGCGCCTTGTCAAACAGCCCCAGAAGCACGGTGACATAGACCGCCGGCATGGTTGCCGCGTCCTCGAAGCTGAGATGGTCGGGTATCGGCAGTACAAAGCCTCCAGGCCGTTGCACTTGGGTAGCAAGACCGGTCGAATTCGTCCCGATCAGTATCACCCTATCCCCTGGCTTGACATGGTCGACGTCAGTGCCGACTTTGCTGACGTAGCCAGCGCCTTCCAGACCAAAGGTGTTGTACCCGTCCCCGAGAGCATCGACACTATTGATTACACCCATGGCAATGAGCACGTCTGTGAAGTTTAACCCAACTGCCTTCATTTCAACCTGGACTTGGTCTGCAGGGAGCTCCGGAAGAGGGCGTCCGCTCCAGCGAAGGGTTTGCAAAAGACCTCGTTTGCTGATCGCCAGGGCTTTGGTGTCTGGCGACGCAGCAGTGGCCTTCAAGGCGCTTGGGATAGGGTACCAATGGAAGCGTCCGATGTGCACTGCCCCGTTTACCCAGGCAAATTCCATGTCTGGATCTAATTCAGCCATTTCATCTTTGCACCTTTGCACCCTTCGGAAGACATTCAGAGCTGCACCTGCTGCCTCAGAAGTATCGATGTTCTCAAGCTCTAAAGTCGCTAGTGGCATATCCATCTCAGACCGGATGGTCCTTGCCACTCCGAGAATCAAGGCTGCGTGCGGATGCTTCGCGTTGACTTGTGCCGATGGAGTAAGCCAAAGCACAGAAGCTTCTTGCAGAGACTGAATTGTTTGTAGTAGAAGGTCCCAATCCTTTTCGGTGGGATCTTTCAGGAGGAGTCCGTCGAGGTCCACGAAGGAAATCAGGTCTTGGTCAGCAGGTGGCTGCTCTTCTGAGCCCCATTGGTAGTGTTGAGGACTGTAGACCTTATCACGTAGCAATATTTCTAACTGAAGCGCAAAGGGGATGATCTGGGAATGACCAGAAAGAAGGCTGACTTGCTTCGGATACTCAAAATACATGGCGGGTCTGGCGACAATGTTGGCATTGATAGGATAAGGCCTCTCGTTGTCATATGTGACCGTCTCGCATCCATTGAAGCCTGCGGCACGTAGTCTGGTGTCCCATTCCTCTGGAGGTAGGAATGGTCCTTCGATACGGCCGTCTGCCTCACCGAGCCACCAGCCAGAGAAGAGACCCTACAGAGGTTAATTATCTGCAATAAGGGAAGTGAGGGCCATACTAACCATTATAAACACCATGCAGTTTGTGACTATCACTGTTAGCTTCTGGGAACTATTTTGACCGCCGAAAGATACACTCACTTGGGGATAGCTCTTGCAAGAACAGACGACCCTGAGGCCTCAGAAGCGTCCGTGCATGACTAAGGGTATCATGCAAAATGGGAGTTGCATGGAGGACCTGAGCTAATATCAGAGAGAGTGCTAAGAATGTCAGCTCATAGTGTGACCTACATTCGAGGCAATGACGAGATCATATTCCTCGGCGTTGAAACCCTGTTCTAACGGATTTCTTGAAATATCAAGCACCTTGTATTCGATTGCATTGTATTGCTTGAATCTTTCTTTGGCGGCGACGAAAAATATCTCCGAGTCCCATCACGGGCTCTTCGGTCAGCTGACTCAGCTCTTATTCAGAGGCTTCTTTACCAGGCCGTGTAACAGGTCCTTTCTCAACTGATGGCATCGCGTTTGTTTCATTCTTGAATGATCATGGTTTTGCCAGTCATCGGGTTTTTTTCTGCGGTGGTGGTGGTGGTGGTCAAATAGCGTGACTGGGTGGACAGGTGTGATGTGACCATCGATATACAGATAAAGCATTATCCTCATCAATCCTCGCCGTGATGATCCATCAATTTCCATTAGGGGTCGTTGGTAGACGCCCAATAAGGTCGATTCCCTATCGTGATACGCCGACAGAAATTGACCAACCTGTGCGCCGTCCAATCATCGAAACCAACCTAGGCTTCCTCGACTTCATCGGCTTCCTCGGTAGAATGATGCGTTCCACCTCAGCCTCCGCCTCAGCCGGTGTTAAACCACCCGTGCCTGCAACTAGCACTCTGGTCTATTCTCTTGATTCATCGGTCTCTGTCCTTAAAGTAGGAATCTTACGCGTATCTCTAAACACTGCTCTTCCAGACTTCGAGTTCATACCGCGCTCATCGACCGTGGGCAACAACGTGAGGTTGCTGACAGACAACAGTTCCGCGATATTCGTGCCTCCATCACGGGCGAATGCGCCAGTGGCACCATAGTCTCGCATAATTCTGTCAATCTTCACGCCCCTGCCCGTGGCATTGAGTATATGTGCCACAGAACAGTGAAGCCCAAGTAGTTCACGGGACGGCAAAGGATATCGTCCGTCATAGCATATAAGGTTGACAACCCCATCTTTTGGAAGATGATTATTAAGATTCCTGGTGAAACGACGGAATGTCTTCACGCGATACTGATTCAGGGTGTCCGTTGGTTCCAGTGTCATACTGAACCGTCCAAACTGTTTGTGCATCCCGGCTGACAACATCATGACATTTGTCAATGAGTTGATCTGATCATACTGGAAGTTGAGCCTCGACCGAATGCTTGGAAAATAATGGAACATATTCGACCAGATCTTTACCATCCGCATGCGCTCAGAATCACCGTCGAATTTCGAAATGGCGAAAGGTATAATGTGCGCTGTCTCGAGGTCTGCTGTGACCTCGTCGGGATACTCGTCTTCTAGATTGACGTCGTACTCGCCAGAGATTACGCATTTGTTGCCATCTCTCCGTAGTGCTTCTACTCGGAGCTGTTGCTGTTTCACACGGGTCATGGACTTGTCTGTCATAGCAGCAAGATCCTCTAGTGAGTCTTCCAAGCCAATTCGCGACGAAGGCGTAATCTCCGCTGTCTTATCACCAGCAACTTTGAGGGGTGTTAGGAGGCCAGTGATTATGCTCTGTGCAAGTTGCTGTAACTTTCCCTGCGCTCCAGCCTCAACTATGTCTTGCACAAGGTTGCGTCTCCCGTCCGCAGGTAGGTACTTAAAAGTCTCGCGAAGGACGTGCACCGCGTCATCGCTAGTATCTGAGGGCTCATAGCCGCGGAGTATCGCCTGGACGTCATCTGGCATTTCTGTAAATATCACAATATCTGATTCTGACATGGCTGTTGTCAAATCAGAGTCGTCGATGTCCTAACTGGACGCCATTTTGGGGGAGCTGGTAATACAAGGATCTAACGGAGCAGGAAGATGCTGTTCTCAGTTGGAGTTTAGACAGTGGCAACGACAATAATGCACTAAATAGGTATTCTCTGCGCTAACACAGACTGAATGATTCGATTTGGTAACTGGGAAAAGGCGCGTTGATGTTAGTGAGATAGGCTGGAGAGCTTCATGTGGTGGCAGTTGTTGGAGATGGTGTTGATAAGCGATAAGGAAAGAAGTACAGCTTCCGGATAAACTAGCTTCCGCCCGTTTCCGGCCCGATCCCGGCCCCACTTTTCTTTGCTTAGTGATGTGTTCTTCCAGATCTGGTATGGTATCGAAGACATTCACCTCTTTGACGGACTGCATGGTGTATCTGTTCCGAACAGTGACGAAGTGCTACAATCAGATTGTCTCGTCTGGGAGGAACGTTCGGAGAGGAAAGAGAAAATGGAGGTATTCGAACTTGTGGTCGGGACTGGATCATTGACTGTTCTGTCTTCTCAGTTCTGTAGAAGAGCACTAGGAAGAGCTCGCATACGGTCCAAAGATGCAGAGGATTCGAATGGAAGCAAGCTCGCAGTCATCATGAAGCTGTCAGGGCCCAGATGTTCAAATTTGTCTCGAGAAGTGTCCAATAAGTTCTCTAGCTCAGTTCCTTGTGAGAGGGGCCCATCATTCGAAGGCCAACTCCCATACGCGTAATGAGGGTCGCCCAAAAGTTCAGGCAAGTCAATCTTTTGCCATAGAAAGTTGTCCCGCTGGAAGTTCCCTTGAATGACAAGAAATCCCCCACTATCTGTGTCGTAGTGAGCATCGAAATGAACTGGTCCAATGGATGTTATACAATGATCTCTGAGAAAAGTACGCAAGCACTGCATGAACTGCAATGTGTTAGTGCTCTCTAAGGAACAGGAACATTGCGGGCTGTCAATCGAAAACATCGCGACCTATCAATTTTCTAGCAATAGGGATGTCTCCAGGAGCAGCAGTGATCGCCATTGATGGGTATATTTTGCTCTATATAACACATCACAATGCATTGTGTTGGCTGGTCCTCATTGGCGAGGAGCGCCCAGTGGCATCAGCATCGAAGCATCCTAACAGAAAGCGGCCGATAATGGCGAATCCCAAAGGGTGTGGATATTATCGATATCATGTCTGGGTCTTGATTGGCCTGGACATATCCAATTCGAGCCTCCAAATTGAACTAGAGCTGTATGGCATCGAAGATGGCAGATTCGAAAGAGGGTGGAAGAGCGTTTGGCGGGAAACCGGAGAGAATCCCTGGTCTTTCGAGGCGTTGGTCAATTTATGTATTAAATATCCGGGAGATAAGCCAAGGGCGGGACTTTTTAATACTTACTCTGCGCCACAAAAAATCAACTCGAGAAATGGAGCGCCCGACACTGGCTTGCCTTCTCCGTATGGGCAATAGGGCCTCCAAATATCGATAATATTGGCTTTCTGGCGCTCCTGATGGACATACTGACCGGATGTGGAAGTTGTGGATGCCTCTAGGATGCACCATCGGCAACCTCCAATCGATCCTCAATCACAGCCTAAACGGCTAGACAGGGATCCATGACTCGCCTTTTCCAAGCATGCCAATCATGGTTAGATAATGCTTCGCTCTGCCCCATTCAGACAAGCATCTGTAGCGTCCGTGTCTCTACCCACCCGGCTATGCTTGAGAAGACACTAACAATGATAGGCGATGAGCTATATAGGTGTCAGACTCTAGCCGCCAATCACCCTAGACTCAGTCGACTGGGATGTCTGAGAGCCCGTCGATACCTTACGTTGTCTCCTTAACTTTCCAGGTCTGCTTGATTCTTCTTGAAATCAAGTAAGGAAGCCATGAACGCATCGCATATCCGAGAGTCGAACAAATAGGGGCCACCGTGTTTTCTATCATTCGGGAAATTCTTTTCTCGGGACCCTTTCAAACGGAAAGCTGGCCTTGTTTATGTCACTTTACAGGTTCATGTCCATTCTTCGCTAGCATGGCAACTCAATTAGCGTTGACTCCTTCTGGTGAGAAAGGAGACGGCGATGCTCAGATTCAGTCTCAGCCTGTCGGAGCTTCGTCTTCTTCATCTGGAAGACCTGCCCCTGATCCAAACCTGGTGGGCCTCCCTTCGTGGCAGCAGAATTCTTATACGAGGAGGAACAATCCTCACATCTAACAGAAGTCTCGGGTAGGTGACGTGGGACGGTCCCAACGACGCTGAGAATCCCAAGAACTGGCCTGCGAGTCGAAAATGGATGGTCTTCATTCCTGTGTCCCTGTTCAATCTCTTGAGCTCAATGTCCTCGGCCACGGTTGCCCCGGCTCTAGAGGCAATCGCCGATGATCTCAAGATCCGTTCCCAAACACTGCTCATCATGAGTCTTTCTGTGTACCTGCTCGGTAGTGCAATAATTCCTCTTGTCAGTTCACCTCTCTCCGAGATGTACGGACGAGTCATAATCCTCTCCGCTGCGAACATCTTCTATATCATCTTCAATACTCTTTGCGGAATTGCCAAGACGCAAAACCAGCTCATTGCATATCGATTTCTGGCCGGGTTAGGGGGCGCTGGTCCTTTCGGAGTATGTATCTCTAAAGCATTTCTTGGCACTAGTGCTAATCTGAGCTTTGTGTAGATAGGGAGCGGTATGAACAGTGACCTTTTCCCTCCACAGGACCGATGGAAGGCCATGGCAGTATTCACCCTGGCTCCACTCCTAGGAACGGCTATCGGTCCCATCACCGGCGGTTTCCTTGTTCAGTATGAGTCCTGGCCGTGGTGCTTCTATGTGGTCTCAATTGCTGCCGCTGTTGTTCAGCTTGGCGCGTTCTTCCTACTTCGTGAGACATACGGTCCTGTTCTATTGCGAAGGAAATGTGCTCGCATGCGCAAGATGACTGGAAACATCAACCTCTACACCGAATATGATGGCATGTCCTCGACCGCTTTGCTGCACAAGAACTTGATCCGACCATTCCGTTTGCTGGCCACGCAGCCCATCATCCAGGTACTGAGTCTGTATCTGGCATATCTCAACGGCATCTTATACCTGATGGTTGCTACGTTCCCGGACGTCTGGACGACGATCTATCATGAATCGGAATCTATTGGATCGCTGAACTATATCTCTCTAACGGTTGGAATGGCTATCGCAACGCAGCTGGGGACTCGGATCGCCGACCGCGTTTACCAACGACTGCGGGCTAAGAATGGAGGGGTGGCCCGGCCTGAATTTCGGTTGCCGATTCTCTGTGCAGGAGCATGCATTGTCCCCATCGGACTCTTCTGGTACGGTTGGAGTGCCCGGCCGAGCATTCACTGGATCATGCCGTAAGTATTCCCTTGCATGATCAATCTATCGAAGGAGGATATCGCTGACCCCGAGAAGTAACATCGGTGCCGCTATTTACGCCGGTTCTACCGTTGTACAGTTGGTTTGCGTCCAAGGCTATCTCATTGACACATACCAGCTTTTTGCCGCAAGTGCCATGGCCGCCGTCATGGTTCTACGAAGTCTGTTAGGATTTGCATTGCCCTTGATAGCCCCCAATCTGTAGGTTCTCCGCATTAACAATGCAATGTAGAGAGCTCTACTGACATATGAAGATATACTACCCTCGGATTTGCCTGGGGAAACAGTTTACTGGCGTTCATTGCAATCTTCATTGGAATACCTTCACCACTGCTCCTGTGGTTTTATGGTGAACGATTGCGTGAGAAGAGTACATACACACGAATACCTGATTACATTAATCCCTTTTAGATCGAAGTAATAGTCGCGCTAGAGTGACCATGTATACTGGGCTTATTTTCCTTGCCGATGTGACTCGTTAGGTCCTCGGCTTTCTTTTTTTTATATGTGCATTAATTCGCGTAGTTAATTTATGGTCTGGGAAGTGATAAAGCAACCATCTACCGTTACAGGCAAACAGGTTGCTTGTAGCAAGAACTACAGATGTCCACTCTTTCCAAACAAACTTGGTCAATAGTCGGTGTTGGGCAAGGGAGCTCAAGTATTCCGACACACAAGCGTATCAGGGATCCCAGCGTGTCTAATAACACAGGTCCCGTTCACTTGGGCTGTCGCCAAAGTCAAACGATTCATGGCTTGCCCCTGGAATTGCGTAAGGAGCTGTCAGACTGCGGCCGAAGGATTAATACAAAGTTAAGAGCAGATAGAATGCGGAGTTTAAGCATAAAAAGCCTTATTTCAATAGTTGTATTTGTTGGGAAGCCAGTTTAAAACATGCACCAGGGTATCTAAATTGAATTTCATGTTCATGTTGTTCATTCGGTTCCATTTCCAGCCATATGTCATCATGATATGCATGTTTACGAAGTAGTCATCTTCGCGAAGCCGTCGTATCTGTAAACCTGCAAGAGAACAGAATTTGCGAGCGGCGAGATTCCGAACTATTCTCTTAGAGTCATCGGCCGAAAGTCATCCAAGCTTGATAACACAGCAGACACGAACTGGGATTGGGGCCCAGTGTTAGATTTGTCTGCGCAAAGGTGCTCTTCAAATAGAAGAAGCTGTATCGCGCCTGCCGAGCACTGACGGATATCATTCAATGATTACAAGATGATGATCTCGCATGTCGCAAGTGTTAACCATCCACAGTGTCTTCGAGCACGCTGCAGTTGGCCTGGTTGAGTGGTATATAGCGTGGTTGGTCAGGGTCAGGTACATCAGCGGTAGGACGTTCAATCATCTTTGCTGATTGAGCTCAAAGCGTGGGCCAATTTGAGAAGGACAACGCTTTCCGTCGCAGCAAAGTAGTTCAAGCTATAGTCAAGGATAATCAGTATTCATTGGCGAGCAAAATTCAAGATCTGTATTCCGAGCAGTTTCCGTACCTGTCCATTAGGATGCGCAGATGACGGTTGAAATGATCCTCGTATCGTTTCAAGGTGTCCTCTAATTTGCCAATCCGCGTCGGGTCATAGCCTCTACCATCGGAATTAGACGCCTTGTTCCCGGACAAGTCCACGTCAGCAGAAGCCAAAGCTCGTGCAAGGGAGGAAGCGGTCCAGGACGCAAACATAGTGCAACAGGTCATCAGCTTCGAATGGATCTGGTTCCGAAGTTAGTTAGCAGCGTTTCAATTAAGACACACTATGGGACAGACCTTCAGCAGCTTGGCCTGGGTCAGCATGCATTCTTTAAGGCATGTGTCCAGAAAATCCACGTGGTCCTGCATAAGCTCATCCACCGTCCGATTGACTTGCTTGGTGCCATTGATCGTCACTTCCGACCCATCAGCATCAGTGCCGTTGACTCTATCCATCAGATTCTGCCAGTTTGGCTCGACGACCTCTGCTGTGCAAAAGTACAGGAGCTGCTGGACAAATACAAGCATCTTGGAGCGGAGACTCCATGCGCGCCTCTTCCACATCTCCAGTCTGCGGTCAGAAGACTTGTGCCGCCAGCCAATAACCTTGTTCTGATCTAACCAAGATGTCACTAGCAGAGTCTCTAGATGGCGCAGCGAGAGAAGGTGTCGGAATATCAATTGATATCGAAGGACAGTCTTGCGGCTTATGACGAGTGACAGTGGGAAGGGGACGGAGTAATCGAGTTCCAGTGCATCGAAACCAACAATATCCTTGTCATCCTCTCCACCTTGTGTTTGAGGAGCCTGGTATCTTTCGAGAACCGCCTCGGGGTTGTCTTGGTCGATGCCGGATACGCTCACCACTTGCATCAGCCACTTTGTCAGGCCAATCTTGTTCATCCGCACTTTGACGTCCTCCTTGAAGGGATCAGAAGCTGCGATACTGCCGGGTTGACGTAATACTAAATCAAGCAGCGATTGAAGCTTGTTCTCATTGACATTTTTGGCTGGTTTGCGCAGCTCTGACGAGCCGAGCTCAAGAAAATACGAGAAGAAGTCAGAGCGATCCAGAAAGAAGTAATGCTTGAGAGACCGGAAGCGTGTTGTGAGCGAGTTCTTAGTGAGAAGGAGGTTCAGCAGAGACGCATTGGCATAGGTGTAGGCCGCATTGACGTTGTCTAGGAACCGCGGGTCATCTAGTGTATGAGGAACGTCCGTCACTTTTTGGCTTATGTCAACACCACCACATTCTCGCACAACATTGAGGTACTTTCCAGCCAGGAGCACCTTATCTTTGACACCTTCAAGCTGAGGAGGCACCTCGTTATCGCGAATTGTATATCGTTTCTCCCAGTACTCGTCTGTGTAGTCTTCTTCCAGCTTTTCTCGCTTGATCCACTTCTGCTCTTTGACAAGGAACTCCGCGTGAGGGTCTTTGATGTCTCCGTGGTGTAGCCACTCATTAAGCATCGCCATGTACGGCCGACTGGAGTCGCGGAGCAGCTTCTCCAGGAGAGTCTTCGTGGTTGGATCGCCGGAGAACGTGGCCAACCGCTCGGTGAGCAGTCGAAGGACATTGCCTCCTTTGCATATCTTCTTGCTTGACATGGCTCCCGGGATGAGGTCCCCTCCTTCTTTTAACTGCTCTAGAATATTATCGACATCGTCGAAGTCGTCGATCGACTCATCGATATCCTGATCTAACAGCCCATTGCGTCTCAAGAGCTCTTGTCCGAGAGAGTATAGTTGAGACAAGCATTGGCTTGTTGGCATGGTGTGTAAATGCAGCATATGTAGTGTAAAATTCGAGTGGTTCAGCAGTTGTGTCTCAAGTTGAGCGATGAGGATTAGATAATCCTTCAATATGCGTCGAATCGTAGCACACAATGCATGGTTAACAGCTCCGTATTCAGCGCGACTCTGGACTTCCACAAATGACTCCAACGCACTGTAATGCGTCGCCATCTTCAGCATGGAAGAAGTCAGGTCTCTTAGCGTCGGGTCCAGCCCGGATGGCAGTTGAAAAGCCGGACCAGCCAAGCGATCTTTCTCCGCAGTCGGGTCAAACGCATGGTGGTAATGGATATATTGGCCTTCGAAGCCCATGAACACAAACAGTAGGTCTTCCAGGATCACTGCTTCCTGCGCGTCGGTGTTAAGTTCGCGAAGCGGTGTGGGATGAAGCGGTTGCGGCAGTGCAGAGGCAAGAGGAGGTACGGATACACGACTGGCTAAAGGTGCAGTTGAATGGGGAATCAACGAGGCTTGCGGCGTCCAAGATTCTGTTGTCCCATAGTCAGCATTGGTCGCAATGCGAGCAACTGATCTCTACTAACGATCCGCCGGCTCTTTCTCCTTCTTCCGGGCATTACCAGAAGCCGCACCATCTGTCTGATTAGCCCTCTTCGTCCGTAACTTTTCCCAATCTCCTCTATTTCCCGCGCTTGCCGACTCTTTAACTGGATTCCGTGTGCGCATTTGAACCTTTTCTCTCGTGTTGATCGTGGTCCTTTCGGTGCGCTTTTCGCTAGTGGTAATGTTCTGTTGATCTCGGGAAGCCCTGCTCTTTTGACTGGACGCACTGTCACGAAGTTGATCCATATTTTCCGATTGTAATGGAGACGCAGCAGCGCGCAAAGCGGCTTTCTCGGCGTCGAGGCGATTTGATGCTACGCGGGGCCGTGATGCACCCATTTGACTGGCGCGACGCTCATTAACGGACATGATCCCGCGAGACAGAGGATATGATGTCAACCATGTGGCGGAAATAATGGCAGGATTCAGAACAGATTGAAGCTAAGGCAATTGAATTGTTGATTGAGAAGAGCAATAATAATAAACAAGAACAGACCCAGTTGCTGCCCGCCAAGCATGTACGTACCGCAGTTTACATTTCCTGATCCGGTAGGGCGGCGGAGTTAAGGTATTAGGCGCAAATGATGCCTTGCAGCCTGAGGCCTGCTCCAACTCTTCGCCAGGCTCCGTCGACTTGCGTAGTTGTTTGAGAGCTTCACCCGAGCTCCAAGACACAGCTTCCACCCACCTCACCAACCACTTGCCGTCTTTCCTAATTTCGTCATTCTTCCTGATCCGCTTCTATATTGAACCTCTCCTCGCTGAAGCCTCTTTTCTTACTTCGTACTTCGGAGATAATCCAAGATGTTCATCGCGCGATCGGAATATGGTAAGCTCTATAGCACCTCCTCTCCGATGCGGTCAGCTAACACCAGCTCTGCCAATAGACCGTGGAATCAAGTACGGGCCCAAAGTCTCCTCTGTTACCTCATTGCAATGATCTCCAGTCTGACGATCAAATTATCACAGCACCTTCTCCCCCGAAGGGCGTCTGTTCCAGGTCGAATACTCGCTTGAAGCTATCAAACTGGGATCGACAGCGATCGGTGTACGTTCATCCGTCATTAAAAGGCTCTCTTAATTGAACTTGCTTTTGCCTTTACTGTTGGAGACGGAAACCATTCCCTAACTTCCCTTCAGGTAGCTACCTCGGAAGGTGTTATCCTAGGAGTGGAGAAGCGTGTGACATCTACGCTTCTCGAAGCCTCATCCGTCGAAAAGATTGTCGAAATTGATCAGCACATCGGATGTGCCATGTCCGGTTTGCAGGCCGATGCCCGGTCCCTGGTTGAGCACGCTCGCGTTGAATGCCAGAACCATGCCTTCCACTACGCAGAGCCTCTGAGAGTAGAGAGCACGACCCAAGC